TCTTTAAAAATGTCTCTGTTTTTCGTTTGCAGCCCTTTGATCTGGTAACTCACTACTCGAGCAAAGTGGCTTTCATCTGGTTGGAGACAGGAAATAGGTTTCACGAAGCTATTAGCTTTTGCCATTGTCTTTTAAGTGTGTATAAGGTGTTTTTTAATCCAGAAACCATTGTGATTGCTTCTGTGTTTGGTTCCAGCAGTTCCTATTAAATTAGGGTAGTTTAATTTGACAGGAAACTCTAATGACTCATTGTAGCTATAAAGTAACTTAACTCCACTGACCTGGTTACACACTATTTTTACTGAAATAATCCAGAATTAATATGCAGTTCTTAGATTGTCACGTAACAGCTTCACATCTGTGACTTTGCTGACACTCAAGCCTTGTTTGCTTTTCAGTGTCGTAGGGAGGAAGGGTGAATATGAGGTTTTGAGAGTAGCTATAGGCAGTCCCTGTGGGTTAGTTCAGTCATGTCAGAGCTTGAGTTTTCATGAGGTTTTTATAGGCATGAAGTAACACCACAGATTAATAAATTTGATTGGCACTTCCCGTTATAAAAGATCCATTTGGCCATTCAGGCTGTAACTTTTCTTGTGGATATCTGTCTTTGTGGAAAATGTCAGACAAAACTTTGGAGCTGTTTCAGAGAACAAGGCTGAGGGAAAACACAATCTTTTGCCCACATTAATAACAGCTCTAGGAACCATTTATCTGAAATACTTCAGATAGCTTATCTTGTGGAGGAGGAGCTTGAGACTTGGAGAAGGCAGGGAAGGAGAGAGAAGACCTCTGGTGTCGATGACTTGGGGTATGCGTCATCGTTGCACGATGGCATGGTGCCATCCCAGGCAGAAGATAAGAACTTCCCCTCCATATCAGTGTGAGAAATAATTTTTGAGTGGGGCACAGTGCACTTAAGATGGCAAGACCCACATTTGCTATCTATCTCAGTTGTTTCGGCGGGCTGGGAGTCAATTGCCAGCGACACTGAGGTGTTTCCCTTCTCAGACGGCTCCCAAGGGAGTGTCTCTAGGAGCAGGATTTGATGCATGTGCCTAGGTCTCCCTTTAGTGGTGATGTGCAGCAACTGTAACTGCCTGGGATTGATCCTACCTGCAGGGATCACTTCTTCAGCAGAAGTAGCGGGGCTTTCACTGATGGTCATGGGTTTGGTCTGTTTCACACTTCCACAGTTAGCTAGCATGCTTTAAAATGCATCCTCCCTACTCTTCTTCAGGCCAACAATCAACAGGTGAGAGGCAGGACACGACAGGGCATGAGTTTCTGGCCAAAGAAGAGTAGATGATCAGTAGGCTTTGGAGCAGGGGAAAGGTGTGCTGTCCTTCAATAGGTGGAAGAGCTTGGCAGGGGTGGGGGATTTGGCTGTAAACGGAAGAGACATGGAGGAGCTTGGAGTTGTGAAGGGAACAAAGCTTCTAGTGGGAAGGCAGAAGACAAGGAAAAAAAAGCAGAATTTTCTCAGTTCTTGTCCCTCACTAAAAAAAACCTCAGAAGAAAAAAAATTTTTTTTCACGGAAAAGATCTATGTGGCAAGACTTGGTACTAAAATTATGAAAGATTCAGTAGCTAGTCACTACAGAACTGCTGCAAGCCAAATTCTGAAAAGCCTTAAAATTTGCACTTTTTTTATGGTGATGTTCAGTCCAGCACCTGCCCTCTCACCTGACTGTACCCATTCTTTGCTTTTTCACAGGATGGAGGTACTGCTCTTCTAGCAGCTTGTCAGTACGGGCATACAAAAGTAGTGGAAACTCTGTTGAAGCACGGTGCCAACATTCACGATCAACTTTATGTAAGTTATTTGACACAGATAATATTGACCACACTGGTGGTGGAACAAATGTGCTGTTGGTTGGACAACAACGGGTACTCTGGCTCCGGCACAGAGAAGCATTTGCCAAACGTTGCGGTTTTATAGTACTTTACTCTTCTAAGATGTGAATTTTGTTAACTGTCTGCTTTTCATGATCCTGGGGGGAAGTAGCACAAAATCAGAAAAGATGTTTTGGCTGCCTTTTGGTTCGTTATCTGTATGAAGGATATGTACCAAATCTGGATCAGATTTGTGCTAGCCATTAGCCTTGAACAAAAGACCATGTCATGTTCTACCATGATTTGCATTGCAGACAGAAGAGTGAATAGCCATAAAGCCCCTGACGTACTAGAGAATCAGTTCGTTAGTTTTCTGCCAGAAAGAGTAGTAAAAGTTAAAATCTTTAAATCTTTATATGTCTTTAAAATATTTTTTTAAAATATCAGTTAAAATTATGTTATTTGGTATTTGTGCATCTCTAGCTTGTCAGTGTTTTGGGCAAAGAATGGTTAAAATGGCTGAACTGACATTGTTTAGTTGACTTTTCAGAAAGCTGGATTGAGCCAATGAAGTACTGGATTTAATTTACTCCAACAGAGACACAAATAAGTCGAGCTTTTCAGCATTCAACAGAAACGAGTGGCAGATTTTCCCTCTACTTCCCACCAC